AAGAGGAAAGAGCAGTTGAACCTATTTGCGTTGGGAATGGGGGACTGGTCAGATTGTTCAGATGCTTTTAGCCATAATTTCTAGCTACCATGCTTCTTTTGTTTCCTCAGTTTCTCTTTACCTTCCATTAGTCCAATCAATTGACAGATTCCTTCCTGTGCTTACTGTGTGCAGGCCCTATACCTTGAGATGCAAAATAAGTGTGATCTTTTTGCCCCAGTATGTCCCTGATGATGAAATCAAGGTAAACAGTTTAAAAGCCAGTCAGTAGTTTTCCCTGTATATTGTTCTGTGAGGAAAGTCTGCTTAACATTTTTGTCATGATTTGCACATCCTACATTCTCAGCACTCATGACTCTAACTTATCTCTCAACAGATTATAAGTTATAAAGTATCATGGACCATCAGAGATATTTGAAATAGTCAAAGCTGTAGGTGTTAAACTGAATAATGCAATAGTCAGTTGAAAGTGTTAATGAAAGCCAAATCAATGGTACAAAGTGAATGCTACCAGTAGATGAAAGCTAGAAAAAGATGTTGCCTCCTTTATAGTAAAATTTCCTTCTCGTCTGTCTAGAGGTATTATAACCAACTCAGGCTGAGCCATTTTGTTTATAATACTGGTAATATATTAAAAGAATGACATGAAAAATATAAACCTCTTTTTAATAGAATAGTTGAGAAATTGAAACCCATAAATGAACCTTGAGCCAATGAAGCAAAAAAGTGGTTTATCTTGGTTTGATTTATAGTACAAAATTAAAAATATACACTCTTGGGGCCTGGCCCCATGGCTGAGTGGTTGGGTTCACGTACTCCACTATGGCAGCCTAGGGTTTCACCGGTTTGGATCCTGGGCACAGACTTAGCACTGCTCGTCAGGCCATGCTGAGGCAGCATCCCACACAGCACAACCAGAAGGACTTACAACTAGAATATACAACTATGGACTGGGGGGATTTGGGAAGAAGAAGAAAAAAATACACAGTCTTGTTCTCTTGACTGAAATGCCCTTTTGTGATTGAGAGATGTTAGAGTTGGCATTATCCTTTCATTTTCTACTGGGTTTTGAAGTTTGCAGTCTGATATTTAAGATGTTTTACAGAATATCTGTAGTTCTATATAAAATTCAGTTGTTTAAAGTGAACTGAAAAGTAAATCAACAATTTCTTATGATTTATTTTTCCAACTTGATACTGCCCAAAGACTTTCAATGGCTAGTGTGTATGTTGCTTCTTTCTTCGTATTCTCATGTTTACACTGTTGGGATGAAGCTATCTTGTTACTGATAGACTCTAAGTTAATCATTTTCAACCAGCCATCAGGATAAAAATAATATTCAAGTCCACAATTGAATTTTGCTACCATATAAGGAAATTGGGGGTTCCAAACTAAATATAATTATTACTGTATTACTCCCCTAGCTGGATACAGCTTTCACGTGGTTACTGAGACAGAACTGAATTAAAAATCTTTAAATAGGTAAAATACTTCAGAAATGAAATCTAATATTTAATTTCTGTTGAAACATCACAAATTTATATCATCATATGATAACTTTACCCTCATTATTTCCTTTTTCCCTTCTTAAATATAGTCATTCCCCAAGATCTCTCCTTTGACTTATAACTGTTTTCTGTGAATATTTATTTCCTAAGAGAAATTCTCTTCTCATAGTTTAACTTATCATTATATTTATAAGTCTTAAATCTACACATCTAGCCCTCACCTTGCACCTAGAATCTAGCTCTGTATTTCCATGTGTCTATAAAATATTTTCATTTGGGTATCTTACTGTAGCCCTAAGCTCAGTACACCTAAAGCAACATTTGCTTTCCCATACCTTCCCAATTGTTCCTTTTTGGTTATAGGCACCATTATTTTTAGTTTCCAGGCTAGGATCATAGAATCATCCTTTGACTCTTTCACTCCATTGTGCCCCACATATTCGGTTTGTTGTTTTTAAATGTTTGATTCACCTATTCCCAGCATTTCCTCTGATATCTTCCAACTCATAGTCCTCATAGCTTCTTACCTGAATAGACACTGGAGAAGCTGGGATATATAAGACAGATTAGATTCCTGCTCTCAGAGAACTTAAAAGAAATCGTGACAACTGCCTATTGCCTTCTACGTGAAGTTCGGTCTTCTCTATCTTGTAGATACTAACGGCAGCAACAGCCTCCATGTTCAGATGTCACTTTCTAGATCATTTTGTTACAGCACGTGTAGCATCACTTTCTAATTCGTCTTCCTTACTTCACTGAGTCATCGGAGATGCAGATGCTAAGTTTATTTTTGTATCACAGTGCCTAGCACAATACCTATCACATATGTCAGTGAATCTTTCTTAGATGGACGGATGAAAGAGCATTGTAAATACTTTCATATACTTTGTCATTCATTCTAACAACGACCTTGTGAAGTAGATTTAGAAGGCCTTTTAAAATCTTTAACTTTAAAGGTCTTCCATAATTATTCCCAATTTGTCTGTCCAAACTTCCTCTTTCTTCTTTCTAATATAAATCTGGTCAAATTAATCACTTTACCATCTCTTATGTACTCCCTCTTCATTCCTACCTGTTCTTTGAATGCTTCTTTCCTTCTCTGTCATGATCCAATGTATTCGCCTTTTTTGAAACCTTACTTTTTGCTCTAACCCGCACTGATATCTCTTTTGTATAACTCTTTTTGCAGATATGTTGCCTGACAGTTATATAATTTAGCAGTCCATTATATTGATCCGCATTATGCATTTTTATTTATATTGTCACATTCATTCATTGTTTAATGTAAAGTTAGTCTGATGTCCCCAACTTCATTAGCAACTTTGTGTAGTTGGCTCTGTTTTTTCCTCTCTTGTTGTCTGTCATGGTGTTGGAAACCCCAATATTAAAGGTTAGCTTTTTCTCCAAAGATGAAAATTCTGTATATATGACAACACAAATTGCTATTTAACGAAGGACAGTTGTGTGTTCATCCATTCTTGTTATTGATTTTCTGATTATCTTCTGTTATTGTAGTATTAAAATTTTATGACTTAATTCAGGCTAGTTAGATCATCAAACACCTAAAAAAAAAAGACAAGAAACTTTATGAATTGTTCTGTTGGAATATTATAACAGGTACAGGTGGACCATTTCTTTAGTTAATATGGCATGTCTGATAATATTAATTAACTATATTTTGCAATAACCTTTTTAGGCTAATTTTTTAGTCTTCTATATTTCATAACTGATAAAAAATTTAAAAGTTTTCTTGAAGGAAATATTGTACTTTGAGAAACTCACTGGTAACCACCATATATTAAATGTTTATGTATTTAAAGTAGCAGTTTCACATTGCATAAAGATAATTTAACTCCTCCAGGTGTTTTAGCCATAGTAAATATGGAACGTTAAGAAAAAGAAAATATAGCTTTCTATGAATTTCACTTTTCCTACTTACATTGGCGTCATTTATTTTATCATTAGAGAAAGAGGTAATAATAAAAGCCACCAAAATGTTTTGTATTACTGTCATTAGGAGACAGGACGTCTTTCTCACAAATAGCCTGCCTATTCTACTGTTGTTACTGTTTTTTCTTTTTAACTCTTGTATATACATGTATTTTCTCCAACTCTATGTGATCGACTTTTCCACTTGTTTGTTTAGTGTAAATACTCAACCTTATTCTTGAATAGATTTAAGCTGACTTGATGCTCTTTTTATTGGCCACAATTACTTCAGTCTCCTATTGTAAACTCCTCACCCCTTTAAAAACCTATGTAAGTGTGATTTGTTCTTTAATTATTTTCCTCATTGACTCTTTGCCTAACAATTAGAAATATATTGGCCTGGTGATATGGTAAGCCATCTGTAGAATACCTTCATAATTCTTTCCATTTGTACTTAACATTTTTCCCCAAACAAAGGAAGTTGTTGATTTTTTCCCGAATGTTCCAATGCAATGTAAAATTTTAAAATGTAATTCTAAAAATTTTAGACCTATCACAGAAAGTTTTTGTAATTTTTTAAAATCTTAAATTCTTACATCATCAGTAAGTTAATGTTATTCATATTTTAGGGATCAGAATAAAATTTACTTTTCTGCTACTTAAATTTAATATCAAAGTAGTGTTTAACTTGTGTTTGTGAGTTAGATCCTAGTGTGCCTATCATGTTTATTTTCAATGTTTAGTTGAATAGCTTTCTACGGTAGGTCTTGTGTCTATTGCTGTTCTTAATTTCTAATTGTTATGAATGTGTGCAACTTAACAGCCTCATGTAGATCAACTTTCTTAAGCTTCCTCTACCATTGACTTTTAAAAATCTGATTTATGAAATAGAAAAGAATAAATAAAAATTACTTGGATGTCTTTTCAAAACACACATCACTGGGGATTTTGATAGTTTATTCTGTCTCCCATCCTTCCTTGGAAATCCGTGGCTATAAGTGAATCACTATTGCTCAGGGAACTTGAGATGGCCTTCAGGTGTGTTAGTTTGTCTTAGTATTCAAAAAGAAATTAGCATACATAGTACTTGTTTATTTTTATTAAAAAAAGTTATCAAAATTACTCATGGTAGTGGTACTTTCTGAAAGTGGTATCTCATAAATAAATAAATGACTACAAATTTCAAATGTGTATTGTATCTAGTAATAAAATTATTTATTCTTCTCCTAAAGTGTTAAATTAGACAAATATTTATAAGAGAAGTTGTTGGTTATTAGGAAAAAATCCTGAAAATGGTGCCCTTTTTTGAAAGAAAATATTCAGACCTTAAGTAGCAAGTACTAAAATTAACACAAAAGAGAAATTCTTAAATAAAATTTATTTTCAGTCTTCATTCTTATTTCCTTTTGTCTTGGATAGCCTTCACAAAAGTGTATCTTTTTTATAACCAGTACCCTGAACGTTGCCAGGTTTCACTTTGTCTACTTTCTGGTCTTCCTCCAGTCTAGGTCCCTTCTTTTCTTCTCTCTTTACTCTTGAATTAATCCTCTACCTACTTCACAGGCCGATTCTTTGATGAAAATGAATCCCCTGTTGATCCGCAGCATGGCTCTAAACTGGCGGATTATAATGGGGATGATGGTAACGTAGGTGAGTATGAGGCAGACAAGCAGGCTGAGCTGGCTTACAATGAGGAAGAAGATGGTGATGGTGGAGAGGAAGACGTCCAAGGTGAGCGTGGGCCTGGCCTCCATGCTGTGACCGTGAAACCCACCTCTACGTATTTTGGTTGAATTTGTGTAGAATTTCCCCTACTTTTCAGTAGCAGTACAATCTTAACACAAAGAGGTTCTGTGCAGTTTTTCAATTTTATTTTGAAAATCATTTTATGATACTGATATTTGTAGATCTAGAAATAAATTATTTTAATTATTTTAGTTTTTAGTTATCTTATATGTTATTGATATAGTTACAATTTGAAACTCAGAATCTTCAGAAATTTTAGAATTAAATTATTTAAAATGGCTCTAGACTTTACCTAAAGGCAAAAACTCCTAGAAAATTCTTTTCCCATTTCTCATATGAAAGCATTTCATTATTCTAGGTACAAACATTGACCAGACAGCCTTTTTGGTTTAAAGGAAGCTGCAAAGGGAATGGTTTCCTCCACACTGAAGATAAGATTATTTCACTACTGATTCAGCATGGGAAGGCTGTTTTTGAAATTTTTTTCTGAGAGGCATAAATTTATATTTAGCAATCAGTTTGTGAAGATTTGTCTGTTTTATGTTTAATACACAGATTCAACATATTTTCCTTGTTAAGTGTGTTACTTCTGAGCTTTTAACTTAGTGAAAGTTCAGAATCTACCTGTGTGCATGCAGCCCTACCCATGCATGCATGTCAGAGTATGTTGCTTTATGGCAAGTTTTTAGGCTTGTTTTCTGCCTGCTTGTATCATTTAGTAGTATTTGTGGAGCTTTTTCTCTTTTCTGTAAAAGTTGATTATGAACTTAATGTGTGACGTGGTAGATTTTTTCATAATGATGCATGAAATATTTTTCAATGTAATCTGTCTTGATTTCTTCTTTAACTCTTTTAAAGGTAATTAAATTTTATTTAGGTTCTTCACAAGTATTGTTTTTATAAAACACAGAAGAAAATATAGCTGTCCTAGAATACTACATAGTTAATAGAAAAAGGGAAACTAGCGACTCTGACTTCCACCTAGGCATTGTTTTGATAGTACATTGTAGTTTTGGAAGAATGGTTATTGGGAATAGAAAAAGATTAATAAATGCTAAGAGTTAATATAAGGATATGTTAATGAGTACTTCTCAAACACTTTTTGGTACTATTGAATAAATTATACTCACCTTCTCTATAATCTCATCTGTTTTTCATACATTTTACCATTTTTTTCTTATTGCTTTTGTGATTTGTTTGGGTGATTTTTTTTGCAATTATTTATAACATTGTTTTAAGACTTTTTCATGCATATATATCATATCACCAGTTAGATTGTAAGCTCTTGGAGGGCAGGACTTTTCATTTATTTTGCCTTCTGTTTTGCTTGTATCTTTTTCTGCCGTCATATTCACCTCCTGCCGTAGTACTCAGCACATATAGGGCCCTCAGTAAATGTTGTTAACTGATAATTTTATGCTTTTTTCCTTGAGATTTTATTCTTATAACTGTGACTAAGGTAATAACCCTTTAACTTCTGGTCTTATAAGCTTGCTTGGTTTATACTTTAAACATTCTCTAGTTTTCTTTCATAAGGGCTTCCATCATCTCATTGGATAATTCATTCTCATTGGATAAAAAGGTTTTTATTAGAGCAATTAATTTCATCCATAATTGAAAACAATTTCTTGTATTTTTGGCTATCTTAAAGTTGATGACTTTTATCACAAAATTTCAGTTTAATATTTTTATGGTTTTTATCCATACTAGGTACATTTATCTTCAGTGCCTTCTCTCTCTCTTTTCTGTACTCTCTCCCACCCCCAGTTCTCACTGCCACTTTCCACTTTAGGTCCCCAGTAGCTTCGTGCTGCCCTCCCTTTCCTTTCACAAGAAAATGAATCCACTGCTTCTAAGGAATATATGAAAATGACCTAAGATGATATCCTCAATGAAGTAGGGAGAGGGTTGTTAAATTTTGGCGTTTCCTCATTTGCAAGTGAATCTTACTTGAGCTGGGGGTTGCCATTTAACATTTTTATACCATTTTGGGGTTCACTAGATGATAGCAGCAGTAAGATAGGGCAGCTACCAAGCAGACTCCCTTATCACAGGGAACAGAAAGATGGAAGAACATCAGCTCCAGCAAATAAAGAGGTATAAGTTTGGGTGAACTGACTAAAAAGGAATATGGGAGACCTAAATAATTTTAAACATCTTTTCAGGAATTCTTTAGTTATAGTATTAACTGTCCAAAAAGTGGGGAGGGGGAATTATAACTCTTCCCTAGCTTATCAATAATTTGCATTCAAAATGTTTATTATTAAGTTAGGCTATTTGGAGTTTAAAAGTGTTTCTTCAGAGTTTCAATGCAGAAATAATGGTTGGGTTCCCAGGCCAGTTTGCTCTTGTAGCCAAAGCAGACAGTAGAATAGAGTGGAAAAAAGCATTAGCTAGAGAGTTAGGAGACCAGCTGTGTATTGTTTTTCAAGTCACTTAAACTCTCTGGGCCACAATTTCTTCATTTGTAATGTGAGAGTGTTGAACTAGAATAGATAGTCCTTCTCAGTTCTAAAATTCTATGGTCACATTTGCAGTGGAATCACTATATATAACATAGGTATTATGGGAAAATATGTTTCAGATTTCAGCTTGCCTGAAACATCTTCCGCTAAACCCAGGAAAGAAAGTAGAAACTTTACTGCCATCATTGAGACTGCAGCCAGAGATATTAAATACTGAAGCATGCACTTTAGAAGCACTATTAAAGTTCTCACAGTAGGGGCTTTTCTCTGCTAGTAGTAAGAGTTTTTTCTCAAACTGTCGACTCCCTAGGATTAGAGATTCCAGCTGCAGGCCTGAGGTGCTGGCTTTAGCTAAGGACACTCTGGGTTTGGTTTCGGAAATTCTGCATCGTGAAATGGAGGCTTTGGTAGCATCTCTGCTGATAGGGAGCTGAAGGATTCCAGCTTCATGCATATTGATCATTTGGGTCAGCACTGCCTGCAGTGTGTTTTCTTGTAAAATTACATGCAGTTTAATTTTCCTGTGTTTGCAATCCTGGTTTATTTTTACTTTTAATTCCTGGTTTCCTGAAGCATCCTAAAAGAAATATTTTATTGACATTGGTGTAAAAAATTTTTTCCTGGCTTCTTTTAATGACCTATGAAAAGATTAACTAAAAGATTAACTTGGAAACAGTACACATCTGATGGATGTATCTTTTAATTCATTCTCTATTGTAATAAGGAGATGGGTGTTTACAAATTCCCTTTACTCTTATCTTTAATCCCATAGAAGTTCCACGTTTGTTTAATAGAATAGGACATGCATATTACTAAGTATATCTACGGAAGAATCTTAGCATAGTGCTTAAGTGCCTAGATTCTGGAGCCAGACTGTCTGGATTTGAATCCTAGCTCTACCAGGTACTAGCTCTGTGACCTTGTGAATTACCTAACCGCTATGCCTCAATTTCCTCATTTGTTAAACAGAGATAAATATAGTTACCTAACTCAATACTTGTTATGTGGATTATATGATTTAAATATTTGTTTGGCAGTTAGAACAGGGTCTTTCACATTGTAAGCACTATATAAGTGTTTGTTGAATAAAATAGTAAAAGTAAGTAAAAGCAAATAGTAAAAAAAAAAAGTAAAAGCAAATCTAGAATTTTTTCTGTCGGTTGCCTGCTTTACACTTTTGCCTGTGGATTAGTTTGTATATTTTAGTAGCGCCTCACTGCCTCATTGCCCCCAGCAAGTTCTTGCTTGGTAGAGCTTACTTTATGGAGGTGATCCTTTCTTGACTTCAGAGAAAATTTAGGAATTATTTAATAAGCTATGTATGTCTTTGTATTATATTTCCTTTACTAGTCATTTTATGTTGATGAGCTATTTACAGATTTTGCTGCTTTGTAAAATGAAATAAAATATTAGTTCATATAGTTATATTCAGTGGTTATGTGTTATTCTATATCAGGTTAGGTTAGGTAATTTTGTTATACTTTACAGATAAGTGCAAAGAAGTTGGTAGAAACTTGAATTCTAGTTAGAATAGCTACACTGAAAATGGACTCTAGTTAATGTAAATGAGAGCTCAAAGTAAGAAAAATGCAGTATTACAAAAGACCTATGAAATTCTGACAAACACTGTGAAGGTACCATATTAAAACTTTGCTAAAAAGCATGAAGTAATAAAACCAACAAACTCCTCCTTATATTTATAGAGGACTTTGAAAGTATAGACTGCCTTCATATGCATTATTTTGTTTTGAGGTAGGAAAAACAGTTGTCATCCCTTTTCTACAGAGAAAGTAGAGGTCCAAAGAGATTTAGGAACTGGATCATATTTGTTAAGTGCCTGCGCCAGGACTAGAATTCAATTTTTCTATTCCTAAATCTTTGCTTTCTCTTGTTTTCTCTTGATAATTATTCATTTAAAAATTCCAAAAAATAGCAGTATTTTTTCCTTTCAGTAGCTTTCCTGTTAAATTTCTAGAAGTTCTCCTTTGTATGATAGCTTTTTTCACTGTTCTGTGGTGATTAAGTCTTCCTTTAATTACTGAAGTCCTGAAAGATGTGTTTATAGCCATAAGGTGAGGTCTCATAGCATGGATCTTAAAGAGAGCTTTTGGGAGAGGTGCCAGTGATTATTTTCCTTTTTAAAACCAAAGTAATTTTTTTAAGTGCCGTGAGTTCTTTGATAAGAAATTAATTAGCATATTTTCAAAATACAAGTATGATTATGGGTATAATTTCAGCCTTTACACATAACAGATTTGGGGTTATCATATCTAGTGGATTACATGATTAAAGATATGAGATCATTTTGTTAGAATATGATGCAAAATTGTTGCCTGCAATTCTAAATGAGAATTTATAAAAGCTTGACAGGAAAGTTATTGAAAGGAAAAAGAAAGTTGGTTTGTTTGCCATTTTTTATGAATGAATGCAAAGAAGAAATAAGAACACATCATTATGGAAAGTTAATACATAGTACATACACCACATGGCATCTTTTTGAACAAAATTTTACCATAGGATATCCTAAAGAAGCTGAGAGTAGAAAACCTATCAAACCTAAAAGAATAGATTTCAGAAAGCTAGGTATATGTGTGAATTTGGATTCCAATTTATATCTCTCTTTAAATTATATAAAATTGTATTTCCAGACAGTTATGATAGTAACACCTCAACCTATCCAAAACTAAGCTATTGGGGAATTGTAACTGTGAACCAGAAAGTAAGAAAAGCCATTTTTTGAGGCTGTCAAAAGATGTCATTAAAAGCTGTGTACTTAAAAGGGAGCCTTTTAGGCTCTGATTAAAATACTTTTCATTCTTGTTCTAGAATAATTTTTTAATTGAAGTGTAGTTGACGTGTAGTATTATATTAGTTTCAAGTGTACAACATAGTGATTCAACATTTATATACATTACAAAATAATGTAATTTTAATACTCTGAGCAGTCTTATTTCAAAACCTGTAGTTTGTAGCAAAATTAGAAAAGAAGAGAAAGGTTGCTATTGGCAGATAAACTCACAGTAATGTGAAGTGACATTTGATAGCCAAGAAGGAGTCAGAAGACCTGTCAATAGCCAAATAAGTCAAACTCCAAAGCACTTTTATGGAGCTGCTTAATATAGCTACTCAAAGTGATTTTGAGGATCTTACAATATTATGTAATAATTTTTTTCTTTTTGGTAAAGAAAAGGTTAAGTTTTGGTCAGTATACTCCATTTAGGAAGTTACTGGTAAGCTTCTTTGCAGAGAAGCAAAGTAATTCACTAAAATGCTAAATGTTGGGATTATGAGTAACCTTTATTTTCCTATGTTTTATTTTATAATTTTTACATGATGACTATGGATTAATTTTATAATTAGAAAAAATTTGGTTTTTAAAGGCATAAAAATGTATGTAAAACAGTTTTTATCAAAGGTTTAATTTAAAGGACTAACCTTCATCTGTGTAGAAATAATATATTTATTTAAAAGGATTAATTCCCCAATGTTTGTGGGCTCCTAAAGTTTCACTAGCCATGTCTATCTAGCTCTACTTCTTTCTTTTTTCTTTCTTTCTTTCTTCTCTCCTTCCTATCTATCAGTCATCAAAAGATTTGTTAAAATTAAATAATCTTCCAAAATAATTACAGACTTTTTGCTCTTTAGCCAAGCAACTGAGAAATAGAACACGATTTGCAGGTGTAAAATAACAAGCAGAAAGCTACCTTAAGACTGAGAAAAAAGGGAGACATTATTTAATTGGATTTCTGCAAGTGATTTTAAAAATAATATTCTTGACACATAATTGTTTCCCTTACAGATGATGAAGAACGAGAACTTCAAATGGATCCTGCAGACTATGGGAAGCAACGTTTCAATGATGTGCTTTAAGTCCTAAAGGAAAACTTCGGAAAACCTAAAGTGCTGTAAAATGGAATAATTTCTACTTTGTTGTTTTTGACTTTTGTTGTAAAGATCAGTTATATCACTTGTAAAGATACATTGAGATAGACTTAAGGAAAAATTTTAATGAAGGAATGTACCCATGTACATATGTGAACCTTTCATATTGTATTATCAAAACAGAGACTTTTTTGGTTATGATACAGTTGAGCCAAAAACAAAGTAAACAAAACTTTAGTCTTTGCATTTAAAGCAAACTAATGTATATTTTACATTTTATTGAGCCCAATTCTTTCCACAAATGGACAAACAGGAAAAAGTTGTACAGTTTATATGTTGCACATAGCATAACCACAGTGAGAATAGTTATTGAGCTGAAAAACTTTTTTATATACTAATATATTCTTGTTGTCCCAACAGGTGTTCTGTTCTGTCTACCCCTCATCTCATGCTCTTCAAGGAGTTATACCTAGAATAGTTAAATAGAGGCCAAACACTGGGCAGCAAGTGTGCAAAATCACCTCCCTACTCCTTTTATTTTACATGAGTGCTGATATGTTTTGGCAGATAATCTTTCAGCTGAGGCCTGATGGAAGTTGAGATAACCTGCAAAGACATAACAATATTTATGAGTTATACCTTACTTAGTTCATGAAATTATGAAATGCATGATTGACAGTATATTTTTAATTTTTATTTTTTCACTTAATACCAGTACTGTTTAACTATAACCAGCGCTGGCTAAAATTTTTATATTTTCAGAGCTCAAGTTAGTGAAGATATTCATGATTAAATGCCAGATTCTGAAAAAGGCTAAATCAACTTTGAAATGATTCTGCAGTCAGTATTTCAAAGCTTCTCTGGTAGTTTTAGTGATCTTATTGACTAGACTTTTTCAGAAGTACTAAATAAGGAGTTTTAACAGATTTTTATTAATGCACAGATAAATAGAAGTACAGTGAGGTCTATAGACATTTTAATAAAATAGTTTAAAAGTTTGTAATAAAGATGAAGAATCTTTGTAACTACTTAATATGTTAGTTAAGAACCCATAAACCTCATATTTGCTAGACTTACAAAATTATTTTAAATGCATTTGTCTTTTTTGACACTGTTCAGTAGAATATGTAAGCTAGCTAATCCTTGTTTTCTGATTTAAAACACCTTTAAGTCTTATCCCCCTCCCTCAGAATGAAAAGTTTTGATCATAAGGAGAAATTTAAGCATATTAACTCTCTTTTTCAGAAGGGCTACTATTAATTGCACATAAACATGAAATGCTTTTTTTTCCCCCTGTACTCAGGTTCTAATCAAAATTTAAATGTATAGAAGGAAAAAAATACGTTGTTCACTTATTGGAGGTGCAAAAATTCTTAGACTTCAGTTCTGAATTATTTAGTGACCAGGAAAAGATGTAGTGATTTACTAAAATTGTTTTTTTCTACCATATCAAAATAAACAATTCATGCCTTTGCTATCAATAGAGTCAGGCCTACAGTGAATAGGTATGATAGTTCACAGAATTTTTTTAAGTGGAGTTAAAGGGAATTGATGTGCACTTTTGGGCATTAGGAAGGGAAGATATATCTAAAAATACTCCTAGTAATACTTTATATTTAATACTGTAAAATCTTTACAAATGAAAACCAAGAAGTTTCCTGCCTTAGTTCCTTTTGTCATAAAAACAATCACTTGGTTTTTTGGTAGCTATTACTTACACAGCAAAATTTCTTCCATTAGCAGTCTATACATTTTATAAACTGAGAAATCTTGCACCAATTGATAATATTTTGACTGTATTAACATTTTAGTGCTATAAAATTCTATGTGAATCTCTTAAAATTCTGACATTCTACAGTCTGTATTAGACATGCTGGTTTTATAATGTTTTACTTCTGCCTTAAGATTTAGGTTTTTTAAATGTATTTTTGCCCTGAATTAAGTGTTAATTTGATGGAAACTCTGCTTTTAAAGTCATCACTTACTGGGTTCTAATAAATTAAAGATTAAACTTGTTTCACTATTTGGCTGATTCCAATACATATACACATATCACACTCATGTGATGCAAATAGTTACATTTTAACATTAAAATTTGAGTAAATTGAGAATTCATTTTAATCTAAGATAAACTATAGAATGGCAGAAATTTTTGCTCTAGGGCTGTTTACTGTGGTGCTAGTTTATTTAAAAAATAATGAATGCTTCCTGTGTGCCCAGCTTTGTTCTAGCTAGTAAGAGTACTGCAGTGGATAAGACAGACCAGGTTTCTGTTCTCATGGAGCTTACATTCAAGTGGGAGCAGTCAGACAATATACAAGTAAACACATGAGCCAGATAATTTTAAATAGTGATAAGAACTATTAAAAGTAAAACAAAGTTCCATGATCTCTTAAGTTTCCAAATAATCAGGCTAAAGTATCATGCGCAAGAGGGTGAGAAATGAGGCTGAAGAGGTATGGAAGGGGTAAGATAGGGAGACTCTTACAAGTTCAGGTCACTTGCTAATGACCCATAAAGATAAAATGCAGCATATAAAACATACATGGAAGCATAATTCTGGGGAAAATGTGAAAATGACTTCAAAATCACTTATGAAATATGTCCCTTTATTTAAAAAAAAATCTTAAGATTGTGTGCCTTTTTGACTTCTCACTTGTATAATCCTGTAACAACAAAATTTGCTAGAATATGAGGACAGAGAATCTATTAAAAAACATACTTATTGGGGCCGGCCCAGTGGCGCAGTGGTTAAGTGTGCACGTTCTGCTTTGGCAGCCCGGGGTTCACGGGTTCAGATCTGGGTGCGGATATGGCACCTTTTGGCAAGCCATGCTGTTGTAGACGTCCCACATATAAAGTAGAGGAAGATGGGCACGGATGTTAGCTCAGGGCCAGTCTTCCTCAGCAAAAAGAGGAGGATTGGTGGCAGATGTTAAGGGCTAATCTTCCTCAAAAAAGAAGAAATAAAAACAAAACAAAACAAACAAACGAAAACTGTACTTACGAGGGAGGTAGTCACCTCACATAATGGCTGACCCTGGAAACTTCAATTCCCTCATGTGTCTGGCCCCATGGCTCCAATAAGACAAACAGTGTGACAATATGTTTCCAAAGTCTAGGTTATTGAGTCTTAACATCACATGTGGGCTGTCAACATTCAGTTCTAATTGGGCTACATCCAGTTACCTTTAAAAGACTCTCCCCTCTAAGGGTTCCAAATGAAAATTCAACCAGCTATCTCAGAGAAAAGGGGAAATTTAATGGTCCGTATAAGCAAACTTAATAAAGGGTAGGAGTCTCTTAGACTTGAGGACAATTGAATCAAATTTGAATGCTGTCAACATTTTCACCAACTCTCATTTCTGACTCTCTACTTATTACGTTCATTCTCTCAGACCAGCTTCCCCTCAAAGCTCTAAGGAAGACTTCCAGCAGGTCACTTTTTCTTCATTTTGCCACGTGAGAGTGGCTGCTCCTCCTTCCTTAGTTCCATTTCTAAAAATATGAGGGAAGGGAGACTTCTGCTTCTGGCTATGATTGAGCACAGTAGCCCCCCCCATCTGTGATTTCACTTTTCATGGTTTCAGTTACCTGTGATCAACCACAGTCGAAAAATATTAAATGGAAAACTCCAGAAATAAACAATTCATAAATTTTAAGTTGCATGTTGTTCTGAGTAGCGTGATGAAATCTCGCACCGTCCAGCTCTATCCTGCTTGAGACATGAATCATCCTTTTGTCCAGCATATCCATGCTCTATAGGCTACCCGCCTCTTAGCCTGTTAGGAAACACGTAGTATATTTAGGGCTCAGTACTATCCGCGGTTTCAAGGCATCCACTGGGGGTCTTGGAACAGATCCCCTGTGGATAAGGGGGGACTACTGTAACTTGACTAGCCCTCCTGGATTAGTAGCAACTATAAAACTGGACAGGATATGTTAAGCAGCTGTTTTCAGGCAGCACAAAACTGAAATTTCTGAGAGAAGGGAAACTTCAGCAGTTGAGCCTCACAACCAACCAGCTTCCTGTAGTGTAAATAGGCTGGAGTGCTGAACTGAGAAAACAGAGATAACAGCAGAGAGCAGCTGAACAGGTTAGAATCTACAGAGTAGGGCTTCAGAGAAGAGGGAGCTATTCACAGAGATGGCCCAAGAAATACATATAGGAGTCTCCACAAGTCCATGGCTGAGGGCTGGGCTGTATGTAATCAGAGCAAGACCACCTGATGCTTACCAGAGAGCACTTGCTACAGATTTGAGAATGGAAGAGATACCAGAGGTTAAGAAGTGTTGGCATAAAAGCAGTGCTAAGGGACATTGGGTTTCTGGGCTGCTAAGGTGAAAATCTCCCTAACAACTGTGGCATCTGGCCAAAACACTGGAAAGGTTGCACCTTAGGAGTAAAGACCATGCCCTAGAGTAAGACCTATGCTAGACATGTCCTAACAAGCTCTGACAAGATTGGCAGGGGAGACAGGGTATGGAGATTGAGTCCAGCCAAGTTAGAACTCCTTGGGCTTTCCATAGATATGAACTAACAAAGCATAAAACCAAGCCTATACTAGTTTAAGGTGACCACTCAGCCATTAAAGTACCTGCTAAAACAAGAATTATCTGTTTTTAGAAGATAGCAGAATCCAGAATCTCTACAACATATACACAATGTCCAGTATTCAACAAAAAATTACTAGACATACAAAGACACAAGAAAATGTGATCCATGGTTTAAAAAATTGAGATGGTCTTTGTTATTGGTGTTATATTTTTTATTTGTTAATGCAGGTATTAAAAATATGTTCAAAGATTAAATGAAAATATGTTTTAAATGAATGAACAGAAACAGAATCTCAGCACAGAGATAAAAATTATTTTAAAAACCTAATGGGAATTCTAGAACAGCAAAGTACAATAACTGAAATGAAAAATTCATTGGATGGGTTTAATAGCAGATTGGAGATGGCAGTAGAGTGAACTTGACGACATATAAATGTAGTTGTTCTGTAAGTATTTGGAAATAGAGGGTTGAAATGTTGAGAGACCCAGAAATGTGGATTTCAGCTTCATTCTTCAAATATTTACTGAATCCTCAAGGTGCTATCCACCCCACCCCCTCACACATAAGCCTAAAGTTTCCATCATGAAAGAATAATGATCATTCTTTCAGTTACTTATTGAGTACCTCATATGTGTGGAGAAATGTTCTGAGTATTGGGGATACAACAGTGACAAAGTCCCTGCCCTCATGGAATTTATATGCCAGAGCGAGAGAGAGAATTATTTTCTATACTTACAGTGATAAATGCTATGAGAAAAATGAGAATAAAGGAGTAGTGATGGAGGAGTGCTATTTTAGATAGGATGATCACGGAGGGCCTTTCTGAAGAGGTAGTGTGAGAACAAGCCATGTGACTATCCTGTGCAACACTATCCAATAGAAATATAATGCAAGCCACATATGTAATTTAAATATTCTAGTAGCCACATTTTTTTGTTTTTTAAAGATTGGCACCTGAGCTAACGACTGTTGACAATCTTTTTTTTTTCCTGCTTTTTCTCCCCAAATCCCCCCAGTACATAGTTGTATATTTTAGTTGTGGGTGCTTCTAGTTATGGCATGTGGCATGCCACCTCAGCATGGCCTAATGAGCGGTGCCATGTCCCTGCCCAGGATCTGAACTGGCAAAACCCTCAGCCGCCCAAGCGGAGCACGCAAACTTAATCACTTGGCCACATGGCCAGCCCCTAGTAGCCACATTTAATAGGTGAAATTTTGACATTTAACTAATATACCCAAAATATTACCATTTTAACATGTAATCAATATAGAATACTGAGATATTTTTTATTCTTTTGTACTAAATCTGAAATCTACTGTATATTTTACATTTACAGCATCTCAATTTGGACACTAAATTGCCATTGTAAATATTTGATTGGTACTTAGAGCTGATAAAATTTATACTTGAATAAGTACATTCATACTCATGTTCCAAGCATACCTAAAAGTTTTCCAATAACTGAATCAGGTGTTAATTTTCTTCAATAGACTATTCTTTTTTATTTTTTTAAGATTTTATTGTTTTCCTTTTTCTCCCCAAAGCCCTCTGGTACATGATTGTATATTCTTCGTTGTGGGTCCTTCTAGTTGTGGCATGTGGGACACTGCCTCAGTGTGGCTTGATGAGCAGTGGCATGTCCGTGCCCAGGATTCGAACCAACGAAACACTGGTCCGCCTGCAGCAGAGCACGCGGACTTAACCACTTGGCCACAGGGCCAGCCCCTAGACTATTCTTTTTAGAGCAGTTTTAGGTTAACAGCCAAATTGTGTAGAAAGTACAGAGGGTCCTCACATACCCCATTCCTACACACACACACACACACACACACACACACAGCTTCACCTACCTTGAACATCCTGCACCAGTGTAGAATTGTTACAATCAATAGACCAACATTGACACATCGTTATTAAGCAAAGTCCTTAGTTTACACTAGAATTCACACTTTATATTGTACATTCTATGGGTTTAGAGAAATGTATAATGACATGTATCCACCATTATAGTATCATGCAGAACAGTTTCATTCCCCTAAGAATCATTTGTGTCCAGAATGTCATATAAATGGAATCATACGGTGTATAGCCTTTTCAGGTTGACTTCTTTCACTTAGTAATATGCATTTAACATTCCCCCATGTCTTCAGGGCTTGATAGTTCATTTCCATTTAGCTGAATAATATTCCATTGTATGGATGTACCACAGTTTATTTATCCATTCAACTACTCAAGGACATCTTGGTTGCTCCACGTTTTGGCAATTATGAATAAAGCTGCTATAAACATTTGTGTGCAGGTTTTTCTGTGGACATAAGTTTTCAACTCCTTTTGGTAAATACCAAGGAGGACTTTTTTTTATTGCAGTAAAATACACAATACACAAAATTTACCATTATACATTTATTTACATTTAAAGTGTACAATTCAGTAGCATTAAGTACATTCACAATGGTGTGCAACC